TCAAGGCGGTTTATGAAGTTTTGGAAATCGTAAAAGAAAAGAGGAAGTTTCTTCGCTAGCATCAGGGTTAAGGGGTGGTCAAAGAAATTCTGATTGTCCTTACCTACCACTCTAGGGAAAATCTAGTTATCCTAAGCATTACTACCCTTATGTCCCTCAATATGCAGTATCTCTATCTCCATACAATGTCTTCAATGCTCAGTCATATGTGTATCCTCCTAATCACCCACATTTTCGAGTCCTAACTCAAGGAAACCTTCACCCACAGCTACCACCCTATCAGGTCCCTTATAACCCTCCTCCTATGCAAAATTATGCTCATGAGCAGGGACAGAAAATCAAATTCACTCCATTGGGAGGTCATACTCCAGCTTGTTTCAAAAGTTAAGAAAGATAAGAGTGACTGGGTCTATCCCACCACATCGTCTGAATCCAGCTGCTCTAGGTTTCCAGGCCAATGAAATATGTGAGTATCATTCAAGGGCCCCAAGACACAACACTGATAATTGTTGGACTTTGAAAGGGGCGATAGAGAAGCTAATTGATCATGGAGTGGTCGTTGTGACAGATGATCAAAAGACTCCTAATGTGACTAATAACCCACTCCAGCTCAAAACAATTTAGTGGGTATGATCTGCGATGATCAAGAGTACAAACTCCTTGGCAAAATGGGAAAGTTGTTTATGAAGATCGGAGAGGAAGACAAGTTGATAAAGAGTTTAGAACCAGCTACATCTTTGAGTGTGGAAGGTGTCAACCTTGATACCAAAGTTTTATGTGTCTCGGGGGTTTCGAAGGGGATTTAAGTTTGAGCAGGTATGCCGAAGTTGTAGGTATCAAAGGGTTTTTCATTAACACAACAGGACCAAAATTGCTTGGCAAAGTTGAAAGGACCTAGCTTTGTTAAGCCCGTCCAACAGCTTCCGGTAACTAATGCAAAGGCTGTCTGTTGGAACTATAACAAAATCACTGTGGTTTACCGATGAAAGGAGATTGTTGAAGAGGTTGATGAAGCAGGAGGGTTGACACGCTCTGGAAGATGTTATTCTCCAGAAGAATTAAGATAAGGGAAGATGACTCAAGGCATCCAAGTACCATTGAAGAAAGCAGTTACCGAGGAAGAAGCATAAGAGTTTCTAAAAAAGATTAAGGTTCCAGATTACTCTGTTGCGGAACAATTGAAGAAAACCCCGACACAGATTTCCTTGTTGTCTTTACTCTTGCACTCAGAACAACATCGTCGTGTGCTGAATAAGATTTTGAATGAAGCACATGTATTGAAGCAGACCACTTTAAATCAGTTAGAGAAAATGACCAAGCGCATCTTTGAGTCGAACACCATCACTTTCCCTGGTGATGAGTTGCCCACGGAGGGAGCTGGACATAACAAAGCTTTGCTTCTTATAGTGAAATGTGAAAGGTACTATGTAAAGAGGATTATGATATATGGGGATCAGAGGTAGACATACGTCCTCTCTCTACGCTGCAAAGCTTGGAAAGTAACAGAGTTCGCCCCAGCAATGTATTTGTTTGAGCTTATGACGGCTCAAGGCGGGATACCATTGGTGAAATCAAGTTAAACATGACAATTGGACCAGTGGACTTTATGATTGTGTTCCAAGTAATGGACATGGACACATCTAATAATTTTCTATTGGGAAGGGCATGGATCCACATGGCTCGGGTAGTCCCATCAACTCTGCATCAAGTTGTTAAGTTTAAATACGACCATCAGGAGATCATTGTGCATGGGGAAGATGATTTACCTATTTACAGAGATCCATCCATTCCATACATTGAGGCACAAGAAGGATGTGATTCCGTTGTTTACCAGTCTTTTGAGGCCGTATTAGTCGATCACTTTAAAGAAGGAGACCCTATCATCCAACCATGTCTCTCTTCTTCCTCTTCAATTGTAGCAACGACCATGCTCAAATATGGTTATCAACCTGGTAAAGGTTTGGGACTTTGTTAGCAAGGAATCGTGGATCCCATTACTCTATTAGGAAACCAAGGCACCTCTGGCCTCGGATACAAACAAAGCAAGATAAATGGCGATAAGTCTAAGAACCACAAAAGGACTGATTGGGCGTTGCTACAACCGATTCCCCATATTTCTCATTCCTTTATCAAATCTCAAGGTGCATAAATGAAAACTTCATTTACTCATGAAGACATTGAAGAAGTTATTCAGGATCTTAGTAAGTTATTTTGTGAAGTAAACATGATCCAAGTTGGTGAAGGTACAAGTCATGCCGATATACAGTTCGTGGGCTCAGGTGTTGAGCTAAACAATTGGGAAGCCACTCATTTCCCCTTAAGGAAGGAGTCTTGGTTGTTTGATTTACTACCCTTTTGTATTTTGTTTTTGTCAGGTTTGTGATCCAAAAATTTGAAAGTATTCTATATTAATGTCAACCCTTCTATCCTTTTTTTTATTTCAATGAAATGAAATTCCAGTTTCATAGTAAAATTTTGTCTTTTCCCCTCCCCTAATTCTTATTCTCCATTTTTCAGTTCTATAAATGCTGGCTTTGATAACATGACATACATGCGGAATTCACTCCCAGATCTCAAAAAGTTCTTTATTTTTTTAATCACCGAGTCGAGAGGTTGAATATGATGAAGAAGATCCTTTTAGGGAAATTAATAGGGAATTGGAAAAGTTTGAGCACAAACCTAAGTCTAATCTTAGTGAAACCGAGGCCATTAATTTGGGAAGTAATGAGGAAGTCAAAGTAATAAAAATAAGTCTTCATGTCAAGAAGGAAATTAGGGATGCCATAATACAACTTTTGTTTGAATACAAAGATGTGTTTGCTTGGTGCTGTGATGACATGCTAAGTTTGAGTGTTGATTTAATGGTCCATAAGTTGCCTACTCATCCTGATTTTCCACCCGTCCAACAAAGAAAAAGAAAATTCAAACCAGACGTGAGTGAAAAAATCAAGGAAGAAATCATGAAACAACTAAATGCAAATGTGATCCAAACCATTCGTTACACTACTTGGTTGGCAAATGTTGTTCATGTGCCGAAAAAGGATGGAAAGTCAAGAGTTTGTGTTGACTATCGGGATTTGGACAAAGCTAGTCCAAAAGACATTTTTCCCTTGCCCAATATCCACATTCTAGTTGATAATTTTGCGAAACATGAAATTCAATCTTTTGTGGATTGTTATGCGGGGTATCATCAAATCTTGATGGGCGAATAGGACGCTGAGAAAACTTCTTTCATAACTCCATGGGGAACCTATTGCTACAGAGGTATGCCATTCAGTCTTAAAAATGCTGGGTCAACTTACATGAGGGCTATGACCACCGTGCTTCATGACATGATGCATAAAGAAATTGAAGTATACGTCGATGACGTAATCATCAAGTCTAAAACACAAGCTGATCATGTGCAAGATCTGAGAAAATTCTTTGAAAGAGTGCGAAGATATGATCTCAAGCTTAATCCAGCAAAATGTGCATTTGGAATTCCACCTGGGAAACTTCTGGGTTTTATTGTTAGTAGAAGGGAAATCAAATTGGATCCTTCCAAAATAAAAGCCATTCGAGATTTACCACCCCTGAAAAATAAGACCAAAGTCATGAGTCTAGAGGTTGAACTACATCAGCAGGTTTATTGCTCAACTCACAACCACTTGTGAGCCCATTTTCAGACTTTTGAAAAAGGATGCTGCTGTCAGATGGACGGAGGATTGTCAACAAGCTTTTGAAAAAATCAAGGAATATTTTTCCAACCCTTTCGTATTGGTCCCGCCTGAACCTGATAGGCCTCTCTTTCTATATCTTTCAGTGACATATAATTCCTTTGGGTGCGTTCTCAGTCAACACGATCCACAAACAGGAACGAGCAAGCTATGTACTACTTGAGTAAGAAATTCACTAGTTATGAGGTCAAGTACACGCCCTTGGAAAGGACATGTTGCGCCCTAACTTGGGTAGCTCAAAAGTTAAGGCATTACCTTTTGTCCTACACAACTTACCTCATATCTATGATGGATCCTTTGGAGTACATCTTTCAGAAGCCAATGCCAATTGACAGAATCGCGAAATGGAAAATCTTGCTCACTGAATTTGACATTATATATGTCACTCGAACTACAATGAAAGCTTAAGCTCTGGCAGACTACTTGGCAGAGAATCCAGTCGATGGCGACTACGAACCACTGGATACATGTTTTCCATATGAAGAGATTAACTTAGTTGAAGAAGTAGATCCAGATGAAAATCAAGCCTGGCAATTATACTTTGATAGAGCAATCAACAAAAAAGGCACAGGGATTGGGGCATTTCTCATATCGCCCACAAGGCAGCATTACCCTACAACAACTCGACTTCGTTTTTTCTATACAAATAACACGACAAAGTATGAAGCTTGCATCATGGGTCTAAATATGGCAATAGATTTGGGTGTGCAAGAATTGATTGTGTTGGGAGATTCTGATTTGCTTATTCAGCATGCTCAAGGGGAATAGAAAACTCGAGACCTTAAGCTTTTTCCATACAAACGATGTGTGGAAGATCTTAGCAAAATGTTTAGGTCCATCGAGTTTAGATACATCCCCAGATTTCATAATGAATTGGCAGATGCCTTGGCTACTTTGGCCTCAATGCTTCCATATCCTGGAAACACTTGCACTACTCTCTTAGAGATTCAACTTCGGGACCAACATGGCTATTGTAACACTATGGAAGCAGAATCAGATGGTGAGCCGTGGTACCTAGACATCAAGAATTTCTTGCAAATAGGGAAATGTCCCGAACATGCCAATGGAAACCAAAAAAGGGTTGTTAGACGTCTGGCTAGTGGTTTCTTTTTTAGCGGGGAAGTTTTATATAAACGCACACTGGATCTGAACTTTTTGAGATGTGTGGATATTGAAGAAGCCGAAAAGATCATGAATGAAGTACATGTTAGGGTATGTGGACCACACATGATTGGATATGTCCTTGCGAAAAAGATACTCTGAGCAGGATATTACTGGCTTACCATGGAACGGGATTGCTTTCGTTTTGTGAAAAAATATCATCAGTGTCAAATTCATGGTGATCTCATTCATTCACCTCCTTCAGAGTTGCACCTCATGGCCGCTCCTTGGCCCTTTGTTGCATGGGGAATAGATGTCATCAGACCAATTGAGCCTAAAGCTTCTAATGGACATCAATTTATTTTGGTCACAATTGATTACTTTACTAAATGGGTGGAGGCAATCACTTTCAAGGCAGTCACTAAGAAGGTGGTCGTGGATTTTGTCCATTCAAACATCATTTGTCGTTTTGGTATCCCAAGAACTATTATCACGAATAATGCTGCAAACCTTAATAGCAATTTGATGAAGGAGGTATGTGAACAGTTCAAAATTGTGCATCACAATTCTACTCCATACTGACCAAAGGCCAACGGAGCTATGGAGGCAGCCAATAAGAATATCAAAAAGATTCCCAGAAAAATAGTTCAAGGCACTAGACAATGGCATGAGAAGCTGTCTTTTGCATTTTTAGGATATCGCACAACAATGCGCACCTCGATTGGTGCAACTCCTTATTTGCTGGTGTATGGGACTGAGGCTGTGATACCAGCGGAAGTCAAAATTTCATCTCTTCGAATTATTGTCGAGGCTGAAATTGAAGATATTGAATGAGTCAAAACCCGACTCGAGTAACTCACATTAATGGATGAGAAGCGATTGATGGCCGTCTGTTTTGGTCAGCTTTATTAGCAAAGGATGGCTTGTGCATACAACAAAAGGTGCACCCAAGACACTTTGAAATAGGTCAACTGGTCTTAAAGCGCATTCTCCCGCACCAAGAAGAGGCCAAGGGAAAGTTTGCCTTAAATTGGCAAGGTACATATCTTATCAAGGAAGTGTTGTCCAAAGGAGCCTTGCACCTTACTGATGTGGAGGGAAAAATCACAGGCATAATTGTTAATGCGGACGCAGTCAAAATATACTACATCTAATGTGTTCTAAGATACTGTGACAAGTTTGTGGCTGAGAGAACAAAGACATCTCTTTCAAAAAAAAAAAAAAAACCAAAAAAAAACAAAAAAAAAAAATAATCCAAAAAGTCTCTCTTTGAAAATTTGAACTACGTTTGACCTGATTCTGAAAGGGTACGTAGGAAACCCTTTGGGGTTCGGTCATACCAAGAAAAAAAAACAAATCAATTTTCCAGTATCTATAGAAAACTGGGGCATTTTTTTAATTTTATTTTGATAGAATAGAGTCAAATTGTAATTCTGTTTATGATTTTATTCTAGCAACCGACATTTTGATCAACTCTAAGAACGATAGATTCAATATGCCTTGCACGAACAATTGATCATTAAAGACAACATTGTCGAGTCAAAAAAAAACTTATGAGCCTCATCGGTGAAAACCTTTATAGGCACTATAAGACGACAAGAGAGAAAATCTTATTGGTGAAAACCCTTGCGGGCACCTTAATGTAAAAAACAAAATCATGAAAATGACTAATGGGAAGAAATCTGCAAAGATCACCATTTCTCGATACCTTTGCATGAAGAATACATAGATCAGTTATAAATTGATAATGGTTTAGATTTCGAGAATTAGACAACTCAAACGGATCCGGGATCAAGTCCAAAGTGCATGTCATGGTTCACTCAAAGTCGACATATGCCTCCAAATAAGTTCTCTTTCTCATTTTTCTTCAAAAAGGAATGCCCTTCCTTAAGTTTATAGTCTTTCTTGATCCAATTTTTCACACTCTTCTGATATTTTTCTTAGTCTTTTCGGTATAATCTCTTGACAAAATAAGGTAAAAGATTGCAAAGCTTATTACGGATTTTCAAAAGTAAAGATGAGTATCCGAGTAGACATGCCATCGAGCAAGGACTAAAAACGCCCTAGATCTTCATTGAAAACTTATAAAGGAACACGATATAGTCTCTTAAGTCATGAAAAAAAATTCAAAAGGAAAATTTATTCTTTGGGACATCAGTCGCACCATGATATTTGGTAGTACAAAAAAGATCAAGGCCCCTGAATTGACAAAGAGGAAGCTTCAAAGGTTGTTCAACCAAGGATTTAGAGTAGAGTTGGAGAAATTGGTCAAGAGTATGGTCAAGTCATCGGAGCATTAAGGCCATAAACCAACCACCACTTTAAACTAACAATTTTCTCTTTCTTTTGCTCAACACAGGAACAAAAGAAAATGCGAAATTACAAATAAAAAATGAAACATCACAAAAAGGAAGTTCTCCAAAGTTTTCACATGTTTGTTGTTTCATCTCATGCTATTCACATTCTTGCCTCTCAATTCGAGAGCTTCGGGCAATACACACCAATCTAAATTACGTACAATACGCACACGTCTTTTATTCATCTGCAATACGCACCAGTCTGAATTCCGTGCAATACGCACCAATTTGAATTCCGTGCAAATACACACTCGTCCTTTATTCACGGGCAAAATGTATCAGTCTTTATTTCATGAGCAAGATGTACCAATCCCAATCCCATGCGATACGCATCGATATTGAATTCATGGGCAATACACACTAGTCTTTTTTCATGTGCAATACGCACCAGTCTTTATTCATATGCAATACACATCAATTCTTTATTCATGGGCAATATGTACCAACATTCATGGGTTATAGACACAATATTCACATTTTTGAGGATACACCCAATCTTAGGACAATCCACAAAGACAATACGTCTTATTTGAAACTCTCAGGGCAACACACCCCACTTCTCCTTTCTTTCTAGGGTTATACGTCCTAGTTCAAGATTCTCATTTTTTCTTTCCTAAAAGAAACACATCCTTTTTGGGTTCTTCAATTTGTGATCTTGAGTTTTGAGTTTCAACCACCAACTCTAGTTTAAAACATGCACCTGAGAATGATCCACAAGCCGCCAAGAGAGAATAGAGATCAATCTCAGAGATAACGCACAGAGCAAGTCGAAGATCAAGACGAGACCCTAAGAAAAAACATCAAGTAGGGATCTTGTAACTCTTATAATATAGAGAGGCGTAGTTCTCTAGGTCTTTTCTTTGTAATTATAGACAATAGATAATCACAAGCAATATGAAACAACCTTTTGACACAATTTTTGATAGTTTCAGCTATCAAAGTTTCTCGAACTACACTGACATGATTTTCTTTTAATCAAGGCTATGTAGGCAACCTATGAAGCAAGGTTTGATCATCTTTTTCAAAATGACTTTAACGGAGTTTGAAACAGTAAAAAATTAGCCACTTCGTTCACTTTCTTTGCTTAAAAACTCTTCATGTTTCCAAGCAAAGAGGGGGATGTTGTGAACACATAATTTTTGACGTGTTTATTTTGCTCCTATAATATATAGTAACGTATTTTCTTATATTTTGTTTGTATTTTTGAGTTGTTTGTCTTTGTTTTTTTTTTTTTAATTATTATTATTATTATTATTATTATTTTTATTGGCCCAATGACCCAATTTTGATTGAATTGGGCTGATTTAGACAAAATTCTGATAGCACAATCATTTTGACCCGGTCCAATAGAACAGGTCGAGATTGAATCTCAACCATTCATGATATTTTGATCAAAGGGCTCTTATGGGATCCTACCAAAAAAATACGAGACTCCAAAAATCAAATTTTTTATTTGAATTTTTATTTTCTTCTCCCCTTTGCTTCCACCTGCCGCCTGTCGGCCACTGCCACCGCAGCCACTACCTTCGGCGGCCACCACCCCTTGGCCGGAAAAATCTCTAAAATTTTACCATTTCTTCCTTTCACCCTCTTCTACACAAATCCGCAAACCATTCATTCATATCCGTAGCCAAACTCCGTAGAACTAATAAAAACCAAACATAACTCTTCACTTTTTTTTTTCAGATTTACAAAGTTTCGGCCATCCCCGTCCTATATCCTTTACATAAAAGTGTAGAGCTCTTCAAGGGCTATCCTTTGATGTAAATTTTATGTCCAAAATCCGTCAAAAAAAATTTCGGCGGAGTTTTCCGGCGACCTCCATTCATCCGAAAATTTATGTCAATCATTTCTCCCTCTCATCCTCTATGCAAATTCGTGATTATTACATTTTTTAAAAATCATATAAGTCATTTTGCTGCCGGATTTGTATTGTTTTGTTAGTGTTCTTCAAGTTCTATTATGTTGAAGTTGTTGCTTGAGTTTTTTTTTTATTTTAATTTAGGTGTTTTTATTAGTTGTGTTTGATCTTCAAAATAGTTTAGATTTTTAGATTTTGTGTTGGTGAGCTGATTTTCTTTTGATTTTTGGGTCTTGATTAAATAGGTCTACATTTTGGGCCTATTTTAAATTTTCAGATGACCCATTTAGCTATTATTCAATAAATGAATAAAAGAAATGGGTCATCTAAAATGACATTTTGGGCCTATTCTAATTTTTTAGATGACCCATTTAGCTATTATTCAATTAATGAATAAAAGAAATGGGTCATCTAAAAGGGCAATGCAGTCTTTTAATTAATTTTATCTTGAAAAAAGAAAAAAACAAAAAAGAAAAGAGAAAATTATATTGGTCATCTTGGGTGGCACCTTGGGAAGACAAGGAGTCCAATGCATGCATTGGATCTTAAGTTTTCAAGAAGAATGAGTGTTAATATTCACCACCTATTTAAACCCATTCTTCTTTCGTTTTCAAGGGGACCAAAAAAAAAAGAAGAACAATAACAAAAAAGTAGAAGAGGGAAAATCATAAGAATAGAGAAAAAAAAGTCGTCTTCTAAAAATATATTTCATCTTTTGTGGTCTTTGAGAGTTTAATTAAGCTTTGCTTTCATCATTGTTTTGCCATCCATCTCTTTAGATATATCCCTTTTCTTACATTTTGCAATGTAACTTCAAAAAATAATGAAACATGTTTATTTTTTTTGGTTAAATTATTATGTTTAGTTTATTTGAATTAGTTAAATATGTTATGATACTTAATATGATTATACTCTGTTGTTATCGTATATTTGTGTTTTATTATTAAATTAGGTGTTGATTTATCTTTATCATTATGAAGTTGATACATAACTTTATTGAAATTAGTTAAATTATGTTTTGTTGTTATTATATATTTGTGTTCTTATTAAACTAGGAGTTAATTTTATCTTTATCACTATGAAGTTGATACATAACCCACGCTTTTGCTAAAAAAAAAAAAACACATATCTCAAAGTCTTTTTATTTTATTTTAGTTTCTGGTCATTTTAAGAAAAGAAAAATATAGGCTGTTTTTTTTGACAAAAAAAAAAAAACACAAAACTGTTCATTTTTTGCAAAAGTTGTAAAGCTGGTCATTTTCGCAGAAAAGGTAAATCTGGTCTTTTTTGCAAAATAATGTGAATCTGGTTATTTTTGCAAAATATGTAAATCTTGTCATTTTTACAAAAAATGTAAATCTGGTCATCTTCGCAAAAAAAATGCAAATTTGATCATTTCATAAATTCTGTTTTTTTCTCTCAAGTAAATATATGAAATGGTTATTGAAACAAAAATACAAAATTTGCTAGTTTTGATTAGTAATTTAACTATTAGATAAAATTGGCTATTTTTGCAATTTTCTTACAAAAGAGAACATATGACCATTTTTTGTAAAACTAAAATTTTACGAAAGTGGTCATTTTCTGAAATTATATCAATATAATTTTTTTTTAGT